AGGAGTGTATGGAGGGATGGACACTGGGAAGAGGTAAATATGGGGAGGAAGTGGGAGGGGAGCATTGTGGTAAATTGTGTTCAATGTCATGAGACAAAGTATATGTAAACTGCTGTATGGAAAGTGAATTTGCTCTGTAAATCTTCACCCAAATCACAATAATAAAAAAAAAGAAAAAAAAATGTTTATAAGAATTAGTGGTATATAGTACCCACTCAAATTTTTAGTTATCATTATTTCTCACTTGTGAGATTATTGTAAGAATTAAAGCCACAGTAGATTTAGGTATGGCACAATGCTTGACACACAGTAAACCCTCACTACATTCTAGTTTTTGATATATTTTTATCATCTTCATCTGTATTAAACACAAAATGATAAAGAAGTCAAATAGAGTGAAGAAGATTATGGTCTTTGAAGGTAAGAGTTTAGTGGCATATACTGAACCTTCTACCAATAATCTCATGTTTACTTGCACTCAAGAAGCCCTGATAGTACAGTGGTTAATTCCTCATTACTAAATTGAAGATGGGCAGTTAGAACCCATCTGCCCATCAGCAGCTTCTCTGGATAAAAAGATGCTGCAGTCAGCTTCCATAAAGTTTAAAAAGAAAAGGAAAAAAAAAAACCTAAGCCTACTGCTATCCAGTTACTCATAATGACCCTACAAGACAGAGTAGAATTTCTCCATGAGGTTTCCAGGGCTGTAACTCTGGTAGCATAGTGCCTAAAGCACTTGATTGCTACCCAAAAGGCTGGTGGTTCAAGCCCATCAGCCACTCCTTGGGAGAAAGGTTGTGCAAACTACTTCCATAGTGATACCACCTTGGAAACCGAAGGAGGGGTCGCTATGAGTCGGATCCAACTTGATGGCACATAACAACAGCAACACAATCTTTACAGAAGGAGTCCTGATAACACACTGGTTAAAAGCACTGGGCTGCTAGCCAAAAGGCCAGCAGTTTGAACCCACAGACAGATGACTTACAGCCTTGGAAACCCTACAAGATAGTTATACTTTGTACTATTAAAAAAAAAAAAAAAAAAAATCACTGCCATCAAGTAGATTCCTACTCACAGCAACCCCAATTTTATTTCCAAGGCTGTAAAACTTTACATCTGTGGAGCAGCTGGCAGGTTTGAAACACCTACCTTTCAGTTAGCAGAAAAATGCCTTAACTACTACAGCATCAGAACCCCTTAGGGTCATGTTATGTTGGAATCAACTCAACAGACATGAGTTTTTGGGTTTTCTTGTTTTGTTTTTAATTAGGCTTAGTATGGTGACAGGATTAAAAGATATGAAAGGTGAATAGTGCTGTGATGGATAGATTTTATTTGTTTAAATGGCATATGGTTACAGCAATAACTGTAGGCTTCTAAATATTACAAAATATTTTCAAATATATTATCTTATATTATCTTGACCTGACTTGATGTTAACCCCACATAGCATCACTGGATATTTGATTATTCAAGCTTCTTAGATTATAATCATCCTTGTGACATAGACTCTTCAAGTGCTACTCATTTCTTTCAACTCCAATTGAGACATTCTATTCAAATATTTACAGTAAGTAGAAAAGAAAATGTAAAATCATCTTTCTTTCTCACAAATGAAGCAACAGCAAAGTGGTATAGCTTTTCAGCTGTTCCAAGTTCCTCAAATAAGTTTTACTTTTGCAAACCAAACATTCTAACTTCCTATATTCTGTGAGCTGTGTTATATGCAACATGACCGGCAGACACATTTGTTGTAATTTTTTAAATATGTGGAAAAAAAGCAAGATATCAACGATGTATTATCTAAACCAAGATGCCAAATTATCTAACTTGTTTCTCCAGGCAAGCAGTCCAACAACAGGGACAGCTCCCAGGAGCCAGTCAAGGTTGTCTGTCTGTCCATCTACTCAGGACATCTGCAGGTAAGTACTGAGCAAATGACCTTATTCAATCTTTCTTTTGGACTAGTGTTTTATATTCCTGGTTTATATTCTGAGAATGTGCGGCTCTTGCTTCTGCCTTATATTGTCTAAGGACAATTTATACTGGCATATTTTGTTTCCTTTATTTCATTTTTTTCAGTTGATCTTTATTTACCAACTTCTGCTTCATGCTGTCATTTTCATCTTTCTCTTTCTCTGTTTTTCCATGGCTTTCCTCTCCATTCCCATTTCCTATTTCCTCTGCCTGCTTCTTTGTCCAGATCTGCCTTCTTGCATGACATGTCAGAAGATGAATTTCAGCACTGTACCCCTGTCATGGTGCTAAGCTCTACTAGGAAGGAGTCTGGTAAGAGACCATTAAAACAGAGACCTAGGAGGAGGAGAAAGGCCTCAGAAAGATTTGAGAATGCAGGTAAACAAATGAAAGGGAGAAGAAATGATTTTCACCTTCAAATCTCAAATCCAGGATGGAATGAACTTCATACAGACTCTTCAGATTCATCCTCTACAGATGATATTCATTGGATTCAGGCTAAAAGAAGAGCCCAAGTTAAATTCAGATTGTCACGAAAAAGAAGGATAGATAATAACAGTAATAAAAATAATCCCTGTGGGAACTTGGATGGGTCTTCCACTTCTAACAGAATTGAACTTGCTGATTTGGGAGCCAAAGGTACCAAGCAACAAGCTCAGATTGAATGTGAGAGTTGCTCTTTAAATCAACGAAGAAAAGCTACATTGTACCAAGAAAGCGGTCTTTCCCTGCCTAGAGAATCCTTTGAGATTAAGAGATCCTTAAGGAGCCACGAGAAAAACAAAGTTAGATACCACCAGAGAGACTCTCAACTCTTGCCCAGTCTTAGGCAAAATGAAACGATCAAGAAAATAATTTCAGAGAAAGATTCCAGCACTGAAATACTGGAAGTTCCAGAAGTTGGCAAGTATGTGGATGATGCAAGGCTCCAGGTGAAAAATTCTGCTCAGAAGGCTTCTGCCACCTATGATGATGGTTCTCATAATATAGAAGCATGCAGGTCAGTCACTATTGAAAAAGACTTAATGTCATGCAAATATATTTCTTCCTGAAATATATTTGTGAAGTGTGTGTGTTTGAAACTTATTTCCCAGGTATGGCATGTATTCACACTGCTCTTTTTGTGACTGGATATAAAGTGATAAACAATAAAAAGTGAGTATGAGAAGAACAATGCAGAGATATTCATGAGTTTGAAAGCTGTTAAATAATTACATTAGATTTCCCCTTCTCTTTCTTTGAAATAGAATGCCTTGTCTTGGTAAGGAGACAGAAACTAATTGAGTCTTATACCAATTCTAGTTGGGACAAGAAGAGTGGAGGAAATCTGAGTGAGAGTCTATGAAACCTTAGGCTAGCCAATGTAAATAGGATGAACTGTTAGCCCCCTGACAGAAAGATATTCTAAACTTAGTTCCTTCCAGGTCACATTTTTGTATCAAAAAGATTTTTGTTACAGTTGGTGCTAATTTGTTCTCCAAATTTCTAATGCAGCAGAGTGATTAAAGATAGAAAAGATACAGAAATGGGTTGTGGAGAGATCAGTGGGATTACTGGAGCATTTAGGGAAGGAGACTACATTAATTTTAGTGATAGTCATATACTAAATGGTTTATAGAAATGTCATAGCTTATGAGATTGCATTCTTGAGCTTTTACCCAACAGCATACATTTCAAAAGAATTTAATGTTAAAAATAACTATAGGGATATTTGTGTTAGTATGCATAAATGAGATAATGTTAAATAAATATATTTAAATTTTCATATTACCCCAGATCGTTTAAGTTGATTGGAATTTGTCTGGGACCAGGTGAAGTATTGTTGTACAGTGTTTGATGGTTTTGTTTTCCTATAAGTTGAACTAACTTTATAAAACATATGGCTATTTCATGAGAATCAGATGACCCAGATAATGTTGTCCATGTCCACTGAGGAGAATTAAACTACATAGGAGCTCCGGTGGCAGTGCCTAAGGCATTTGACTGCTAACCAGAAAGTTGGTGGTTCAAACCCACCAAACACTCCACAGAAGGAGATGGAGTGATCTACTTTTGTAAAGATTTACCACCTCAGAAACCCATTGGGGTCGCTATGAGTTGGAACTGACTCAATGGTAGTGAGTTTCATTTTGTTATTTTTTTTCCTTTTCATATATGAATATAGAATACATATTTCTCTGAAAGGTTTATAAGATGATCATTCATAACATGCTCATTTATTTATTCATTCAACAAATATTTATCAAGCATCTATTATGTATCAGGCATTATTCTAGACATTGAGTATAGCACAGTGCATAATAATGATATAGTTTCTGCTGCTATAGACCTTACAGTCTAATAGAGAACACAGACACAAAATAGACTATTTCCCAATTAATATGTAATTACACTTATGTTAAGAAATAGGAAAGCATGACAAGGAGGCTAACCTATTCTGGGAGATCAGAGAAGAACTCTCTGAGTTACAAGCAGACTGAGGCTCAAAAGATGACAGGAGTTGATTAAGAAAAGAAGTGGGAAAAGCATCCAGAAAGACAGCACTAGTAGCATGAAGTATGGGAGAGAGAGAGAAGGACTTGGCAACCCAGGGAAGTAAAAGACTGCTATTGTGGACGGCATGTACTGAGTGAGGCGATGGATAATGGAGATGACAATGGAGACATGGAGAAGGCCCAGACCATACAGTGCTATGTAAAACAGGCTAAGGATTTTGAACTCTATTTTTAAAGAATTAGGATTTAAAAGGAAGTAGTACAATTTGATTTTCATTTTCATGTTAAGTTTCTTGTAATCTGTGGAACATGATTAAGGGTGGCTTTGCTGAAAGATTGGGCTAGACTGGACCACTACTTCTATTTCTGGCCTAGGAAATTCCCCACTTGCAACCATCTATTGTCATTTCCTAAGTCTACTTCTGGCATGATTTAATTAAAGGTAGTAAAAGAAGCTGTTTGTGGGTTTAATGATTACTGGAGAAAAACACAGTGCTTACAATTAATGTTATAGTCAGTGGTTCTCCTATCTTAAAAACACTTTTCTGGAGGAACATTTTCAAAGACGAGGTATTTAACCTAGAGTTCTGTTGATGAACATGAGATCAGTGGGATCTTAGGTATTATTTCTTGCTGTGAGTTATCATCACAATATACAGACTAAATGAATACTGTAGGCAGCTTATTATCCAGATGCTGAGGATAGAAAGTGGTAAAAGACTTGATTCTTCCCTTAAGTTGCCTATTATCTAGTGGGAGGTATTGAGCACACACTGGAAGAGACAAAAGCTCAAGATAGTACAGGGTGAATATAAGAAGAGTGAAAAATAACTAGAAATACTGTAGGATTTTGAAGAGAATCTCTAAGCTGGGATGATCCGGAAACTCCTCAGGAAGAGGTGTGACTGAAGGTTAGCTCCATACCTCAGAAGTGAAAGCACTAGTCTTATAAGAAGAGGTGTGACTAGAGATGAGAAAAGGAGAATTTAGATCAGCAGAGATGCATGAATGACATTCCAGGCCTTCAGAATGGGAGAATACCTACCTTACAAAGGGATAAGGGAACGGGCACTGTGCATTTAGAAACTTCATGTGAACTTTGTGAATAAGTTGGAAGACTTGCATAGGTAATTAGAATTAATTGGGGAGAAAAAAAAAAAGTTATGAAGAAAACATACATAGCATTCCAAGGCATTGAACTCTCTTCTGTACATGTATTTTAAAATTGTCTCAATGGGCCTCTTGAGTTCCAAAACAGCTACTTCAGAAGCTGAAGGCAAATCAAGGGGATCATGCTCCTTCCAGCCCATCTTCCAGAAAGAAGCTTCAGGATCATTTCTTTTATATAGTAGGGTTCTAAACATTTCATTTAAAAAAAAAATCAACTGCAAAATGAGAATATTTATTATGTATAAATACTTAATAAATAAAATAGGCTGGACGAGGGGTAACAGAGCAATCACTTGTGTTCCTGAGGAATTACAGAGAAAGAAATCTGGATTTTGGAGAACAAGTTGTGATATAATGAAAGTACCTTGCCATGAGGTAAGTTGGACTGGGATAGAATGAGCATTAGTAGTATGAAGTAAAGGAAAGAAAAGGACTTGGCAACTCAAGTTGCCATTCTCATGTCCAGGAATAAATTGTATCAGCATCCCACCAAGTGAATAATACCTAAACCAGACCAGTTGCTATGGAGTTGATTCCAACTCCTGCCAATCTCATGTGCTGCAGAGTAAAACCAGAGGGTTTTAGAACCAGATCAGCAGGTCCTCTCATAAGGTGCCTCCCAAAAAAATGCAAACCAAAGTCTCTGCTATTGAGTCAATTCTGACTTATAGCAACCCCCTTTAGGTTTCCAAGACAGTAAATCTTTATGGAAGTATATTGCCCCATCTTTCTTCTGCAGAACAGCTGTTGGGTTTGAACCACCAACCTTCTGGTTAGCGGTCCAATGACTTAGGCACTGAACCACCAGAGCTCATTTTAAGGTGCCTCTGGGTGGGTTCAAATTGCCAGTCTTTTAGTTAGTACTCAAGCACTTCACCATCTGCACCATCTAAGAATTCCTACTTTTGTGAATAGTAACAATCTTAATACTTGGAAGTAGTGAGAGCATAAGTCAGAGGAGCCCAGGATGACCTCAAAACATGGGAGAATAACTTGCTGATGTTACTGACAAAGGCAAGAGAGGTCAAAGGGAAGTTGATCTGAGATAGACATTGTGAGCTGCAGGCAGGCTATTTGTGGTGAAAATGACATTCCAGGGTCAGCTGTCCAGTAGACATTATGTATGTAACACAGGATTGAAAAACAGGAGATCTGTCAGTCAGGTCTGGATCTGTATGATATTTCTATCATTAATGAACTATACACAGCCCAAAACTAAACAGTTACACATGTGCAATTTTTTTTTAATATGATGTGATAGCACAAGGTAACAGCAGAAA